ACTGTGTCTTCACCTCCCAGGCCAGTTGTCACCTTCAGGACCTGGACTGCACTGTTTTCTTTCTCCGCACCTTTTCATCCACTGTCTGTCTGTCCACATTCTTGTCTGTTAAATTGCAGTAAAGTCCCCTCTCCTTTCTAATGAAAACGATTGGCCCTGGGGGTGATACTTCCGGGACTGATCTTAGGGCTGGATGTGGTTAGTTTACCTTAAAGGAAAGGGGAGGAAGAAAAGCCCCTTTGCCCTGAGAGTTCTTTCCCCACTTGCCTTAGGCTTGGGCTCAGTCCAAGGCTCAAATTCCTTCAGACATAGAAATGTGTTTGCTAGTAGTTTACAGAAAAACTGTTCTACAAACTGAGTATCTTTGAATGCAGACATCTTCGACGCTCAGCTAAGGTCTGGGATAGCCAAGGGCGTCTTTAAGTTGTTTTCCTTGCCGCCTCCATGAAGAGAAATAGCATCTTCTGGCCCTGAAAGAATCAGACCTGGAGAAAGCTGAGAGCTGCAACCCTGGCAACCAGCTTCTCAGACTCCGCAAGGCTTGTTTACAAAGGAAAAAAATTGTCTCTCAATTCCTGGACCCACCATTCTTGGAACTTACCTTTTCCTCCTCATGTTTGTGTGTGAGTGCATGCGTGCGCATGTGTGTGTGTGTGTGTGTGTGTGTGTGTGTGTGTGTGTGTGTTTCATTAAGATTATTTTATGTGTTTGAGTGTTTGCCTTCCTGTATGTTTGTGCACTACACATGTCTTTGGTACCCACAAAAGAAGAGGATGCTGGATCCCCTAGAACTGGAGTTACAGATGGTTGTGAGTCACAGCAGGGGATCGAGGAACTGTACTCTTCAAGTGCAGCAAGTGCTTTCAACCTCTGAGCCATCTCTTCATTCACTATGTGCATTAAACCCTGAGTACAGTACTCCTCAGACCTACTCGGAAGACTGTATTTCAGACAAATTCCTCCTACCACAGTCACTAAATGTTACAGTGTCATGCAGAGACACTACAATTCTAGACCCTCCCTAAGGAACCTCTCGTTTACTATACTGTACTGTACTGGTGTGGGTCGTGTGGGTCAGAACATTGTCGTCTGTCTTTTCTATTTGTTTTAGACTTGCCTCTTCTCCTACTTCCATCTGAGTACCCCATGAGAGCTATGGGATATTGATTTTCCATTTCCTTTACCTCATCTTCTCCTCTGTGTCTCCAGGGCAGTCTTCCTGCTCTGATTTCAGCCCACAGAGTGCTGTCAGTTATGCAGGGAAGCTGTGAGTTATACCGCTTCTCTGGTTCCTTGGACCTCTCTATTCTATGTGTATGCCACTCAGACACAGAGACACACATCCAGAGACACATACATACACACAGATATACACACAAACACGTATGCACACACAGAGACACAGAAAGATAGGCACACATGAGCTCATAGAAACAGAGACGTATATGACATATTTGCAATATATACACACACACAGATTTAATCTACTACTCTTCAGTGAGATTCAACTGTTTTCCCACTAGCAATCTTGGAGAGAAATTTTAGCAGGCATGAATTAACATGTATTTGTCGTGCAATAATATTCATATTTGTGACTGATTTTTATTATCTAGAGAGAAAGTGTATGTGTGATTTTTTTAGGATATTTAGAGAGAGTGTATGTGCATGCATGCATGCTTCTCTCTCTCTCTCTCTCTCTCTCTCTCTCTCTCTCTGTGTGTGTGTGTGTATACCATGTACATGTGTGGTACCTGAAGAGGTCAGAAAAGGGTATTAGAGCCCCTGAAACTAGAGTTACAGAAGATTATTGGCTGCAACATGGGTGCTGGGAATCGAACCCAGGTCCTCTGCAAGACAGCCAGTGCTCTTAACCACTGAGCCACAGCTCCATCCCCTCAACTCAGATTTTTGTATGTTCAAAGCAAGCCCTTTACTGATGCAATTTGTTTTAGAATTTGGAATAAGGAGCTTCCTGCACATTCTCAGGGAACGAGATTTTGCTTCTGCCTCTGAAGCACAAATGTCTCCATAATGCCCTCTCCAGCCCATTCCCTTTGCCATCTGGCTATCCCTGTGGTTAGGAAGAGCTAAACATGTAATATTAATCTCTCCAGATTTCTTGTCTAAGAGAACAGGTATGTTGAGCAGAATGTACTTCACTGCTAAGAAGGCAACTCTGTTTATCTTAAATTTAAATTAAAATGTGTTCCTCCGTATGATAGTTCCACAGACATGGGTGCAGACAAAAATTTTTTCTGTGATGACTCTTCATCCAGAGCTATAAAAGCATGAAGGTATCCTGCTATGCACACAGTCTACTTAGCAGAAACCCAGCAAGAGTGTGGCACAGTGCTGCTCACACTCGAGTCCTGAGTAGAAGCACTCTGACTGTCTCCGAGAAGGAGTCTCATGTATCCCACACTGGCTTCCAACTTGCCATGTAGTCAAGCATGATCTTGAATTTGTGAGCTTACTAACCTCTACCTCTGAGTGTTAGGGTGATAGGCATGCCCCACCGTACCCAACTTTAAGTTGTGCTGAAGATTGGACCCAGTGCTTGGCATGTGATAGGCAAGCGCTCTATCCACTGAACCGTATCCCAAGGCCATATCCAGTGTCTATCAAGAGAGCTACTTTATTTCATAAACAGTACCACTAACTATGATCGCCTGTTAGTGCCACCAACTAGTCCTTAGCCAGAATGGAATAAAATAGCTTAATTAACCACAGTATGGACTTCTGAATCTAACTTGGAAAAAAAGAGGAAGAGCAGATAGACATGGGACTGATACCCTCATCTCTTCTGGTTTCTGTCTAGGGCAGGATGATTGTTAATCTGTGCCAGTCCCTCTTGCACACAAAGGCCAGCAGGGCGAGCTTAAAGCTCTGTTCTTGCTCCACAGTGGCTCCACTTCTGGATAAGGGAGTGACCTGGCTACACTAATGGACAGCCAGCTTGGCCACTTAAAAGCATCTCCTGCCTCTCTGACCTCCTCTAAATCACCTTTAACACTGTGGATGTCTCTAGAAGGAATCATAATCTGCAGCAGTGCCTGCGGACTGTACAGCCTTTGTATGCTTGGGAAATTCTGTACCTGGGATATGTCTGCTTGCTGTGCGCTGCGTTGAGTGACAGGTACAAGCTGGCAGTTCTGTGACAGCAATCTTGGGCTGCTATGTGGGTGATTAGTGATCAGGGCGCTATGTTAGGATGCATCAGGATGTCTGCGTGACAACATCTGAGCTATAAAAAGGAGAATGATTTAAAACATGTTTTGGGTCTATAGATCACATTTTTACATGGTTATTTCATGAGGGAGTCTCAAGGAAGGGAAGGGGAGGGGAGGGGAGAGGAGGGGGAAATGTGAATGTTTGCTCTGCCCCTCCAACTAGTCACTAGTCCCTTAGGGATAGCTCAGCTGTCTCTATTGCTTTCCACTAGGGACACTATTTTAATTCAGGTTAAGACTGACTATTTAGCATATAGAATGCACTCTGAGTTAAAAACAACAAAAAGTAACCTTTAGTACAGTCTTATTCTAGTCCTGTTGATGGAGACCTATAATGGCAGCTAATGGGGCCTACCAGAGGCTAAAGCAGAAGGATCACACTTCAAGGCCTACGTGGCCTATAGAGTGAGTGTAAGAATAGCCAGAGAAACTTTGAGAGCTTGTCTCAAAGGAAAAAGAAAACTGGGATCTTAGAAGTCAGTTCATGGAGCATCTATGGAGCAGGTAGGAGGCCCTGTGTTTGTTCCTGAGCACCACATAGAAAGCAGTTCAACAAATGACCAGCCATATGTGTAATGATTGCTTCTTTCCCCTTGTGAGGACCAGTTCAGATGAGACAGGATTTAAAGGAAACATTAGGGAAACTTCTGTCTCACAGTTTAGAGGTGAAGACTGACTCCATTAGCAAAGTCTAATTTGCTAATATCAGGATCTAGCCTTCCTTAATTTATCTCTAATTTATGGTAGCTCATCTTTAATTTTTTTTCTCAATGGTGTTTATTTCAGAAGCGAAGCCTCTGGGGCATAGAGAAATGTGTCAGCACTTAGAGTACTTGCTGCACTTTCAGAGGACTGGTTGGGGCCAGCAGCCATACTGGGTAGATGACAACAACCGGCAATTCTAGGTCAAAGGATGTGACACCCTCTTCTTCTGGCTTTTCTGGACACCCTTAGACACGTGTCCACACATACAAATGATACATTTTTAGAAAGAAACCTCTCACTTGTTGATAACCCCTGTGGAACAACAGACAGTGTCTTCTCTGTCCTGACACAGGCCCCAGTCACAACAGCACAATCCCTCGCAAGCAGCCATAGCCCTGAGCTGTCAATCTTTACAATAGTGAAAACCTCTGTTTTCACAATGAAATAATTTTTCTGAACCAGTAAGAATTTGTGTCCTTATAAAGCTATAAACCAGTAGTAGATAATTTCATGTAATATAGAGAAAGATGTCTTTAGTTTGGTTTGGTTTTTGCAGCCTGGGCTGGCTATGAACTCAGTGGTAACATTGCATCTCTGCCTCCCAAGTGCTAGAATTACAGGCGTCAGCCACCACCACACCTAGATTGAGAAATAGCCATTCTTTCTAGCATGACACATAGCCAATTATTTTGGTGATATTATCTAAAGGTGAGTAATTTTCTTCATCAAGAAGCTTGTTCATGCAAATCTTCACCAGCCAGATAGGCTCTAATGCACATTAGACCATTTAGAAAGTACATGCAAACCTTTAACACTCTTTGGGTCACATGTTCTTAAGTTCGTTTCCTGATACCAAGCCTCAAATTTTAGCCTACAGCTGTAGGAAGCAGCTTTGCTCACGTCAGTCCCATGATGAACATTTTGAGTTTAGGACAAAAAGACAAAGACCAATAGAGATAAGACACTTCTCAAAATGTAACAGCACACTGACATTCCAGGCACAAGTTTCTGAAAGACAGACAGCAAATGAGGTTATAACTCTGCTGTGTCTGCTCTTCATTTAAGGCACAACTCAATCCGAAGACAACTCAACCTGTCGAACCCGGACTTTAATATCCAGCAGCTTCAGAGGCAAGAGCAGTTGACTGGGATTGGTAGAATTAAACCAGAATTATATAAGCAGAGGTCACTGGACAATGACGACGGGAGGAGGAGTAACAGCAAAGCTTGTGGGAAACTGAACTTCATTTTAAAATATGACTGTGACTTGGAACAGCTTATCGTGAAGATACACAAAGCCGTCAATCTGCCTGCCAAGGACTTCTCTGGGACTTCAGATCCTTATGTCAAGATCTACCTGCTTCCTGATCGGAAAACAAAACACCAGACTAAAGTTCACAGGAAGACCCTGAACCCTGTATTTGATGAGGTGTTTTTATTTCCTGTTCCCTACAATGACCTTGAAGCACGGAAGCTTCACTTCTCTGTGTATGACTTTGACAGGTTCTCTCGCCATGACTTGATTGGTCAAGTGGTGGTGGACCACTTCTTCGACTTGGCTGATTTCCCCAGGGAGTGCATTCTTTGGAAGGATATCGAGTATGTCACTAACGTGAGTCTAGCATTCCTTTGTTTGTGGTGGAGGGATTGCTTTTTAGTTTTCAGGGAAACCTACTGCTTACGTATTTCTCTAGACGCTCTTTGTGTGTCTGGAGCGATAGGTTTTTAAACAACATTGATTTTGCTATATACAAGAATAATTTGCAAAACCTATGAAGGAATCACCTTTCCTGTTCTCTGTCAGTCCTCACAACATATTCTTGAGAGCTATCTCAGGTTCTACTAACTGAGCCCCAGCATCCTTTTCCCTGTATTGTATAGCTGACAGTCCATCGCCTGATTGGCAGCACCCAGTCCATGCCTGAGTTCTGCTACTGGTTCGGCAGTGCTTTGAGGATCAGATCCTCAATTTTAACCCTGAGCCTGGGAGTGCTTAAGAAGGCTGAGCACTGTAATTTCAAACATAAAACTCATTAATTAAAATGATAAGAAAGCCAGTCTGAAAAGATGGCTAAACTGTTACACAGATGGTCAGGTTTCATGTCAGACTTAGAGAGGGGGCAGAGAATCTATATGGCCATGTTTGCATTTCGGTGGCACCGCATGGGATGCTTTTACTCCAGTTGCATCCTTGACACTCCCTGCTGAGCCATTCTGAAGCTCCAGCCTGAGTAAAACTGGACTTTCTCAGGGAACCGATGCTTTCAGGAAGCCTGGTCAGATTCCCTGAGGTGTCTTTTCTTGAGCCCAGAGTTGCCCTCCTCACCTTCACATCACTATCTGGCTCAGGCACTGATTCAACTTGAATTAAGCCTTGAGGGAATGAAAGACTCACTCTGCTAAAGAAGAGGACCCACAAATCTTTACCCTAGAACCAAATAGCCACACTGTACTCTTCAGGCCTCAGATATATTTATGATCTGGGGCCTTCCTCACACCTTAAAAGTTCCCTGCACATGCCCTAAAGTACCTGTGCCAAGTTTGTCATGATATTTAATCTATGTAAGGAAAGTGTGGCCAAGGTCATGGTGGCTCCATCTTCATGTCTGGAAGGAGGAGAAGGTGTAGAGAATAGCTGTTGATAAAACTAGAGTGATTTGGGATGTTGTGAAAGGAGAAGACCTCTTCACCTTGAGAAAGTATACCATTTGTAAACTCAAAAATGGATGCTGGGGAGAGCAAGGATTATCTTCAAGTCCCAGCTGCCAATATCAGAAGGCAACTGAGAAGGCTTAAACAAATGAAATAGAAAGGATGTTCATCATAGGGAAGATTTATTGTCTCCAAATAGCACCTCCTGGGCCTTTTAACAAATTTCTATGGGTAGAGAAGCCAACCATGATGATGAGCCCTGATGAAGTCTGATCTCAGGCTTGGGTAAGGAGGCCTTGTTCACACCATCCAGACAGACTCTTAGTAAGGTTCCGACATGAAGAGTCATCAACTAGCCAGAGAAGTTCTAGGAAGCTCAGTGGGATCCTGGATGTTCCCATCTAGGTGTTTTATAAAGAGAGCATCAGCCTGTGCCCAGAGGCTGATCACAGTCCAGGTGAGGCAGGTCCCTGGTGGAAACATCTCCTTATTCCTGTGGGACAGGAATAGGGTATCAGGCTGCAGAGATCTTCTAGCTATGAGATTAATACCATTGTGGCCTTTTTCCAGAACTAAAAGTTTCTAGATCATTGTTGGAAAATGCTGGATGGCAAAAGAGTTAAGAATAATGTGTGGCTCATCATGAAACATTTACCCAGGCTTTAGGATGTCCGTGGGAGAAGGGATGTGTTGTGAGTGGAATTACAGAGTCTTTCATAATCTGCCTCATATTGTTTGATGTGACTGTGCCAGAAACTGAGAACAGAGATTCTTTTTTAAATTTTTTTTTATTTTTTATTGATTTTATTGAGCTATACATTTTCTCTGCTCTCCTCCCTTCCTTTTCCCTCCCCTCCCTTTAGCCCTCTCCCATGGTCTGCATGCTCCCAATCTACTCAGGAGGTCTTGACTTTTTCTACTTACCATGTAAATTAGATCCATGTGTGTCTCTTTTAGGGCCCTCATTATTGTCTAGGTTCTCTGGGATTGTGAGTTTGTAGGCTGATTTTCTTTGCTTTATGCCTAAAAACCACTTATGAGTGAGTACATATGATATTTGTCTTTCTGGGTTTGGGTTACCTCACTCAAAATGATGTTTTCTAGATCCATCCATTTGCCTGCAAATTTCATGATGTCATTATTTTTTTTCTGCTGTGTAGTACTCCATTGTGTAAATGTACCACATTTTGCTTATTCATTCTTTGGTCGAGGAGCATTTAGGTTGTTTCCAGGTTCTGGCTATGACAAACAATGCTGCTATGAACACAGTTGAGCACATGTCCTTGTGGCATGATTGAGGATCTTTTGGGTATGTACCCAAAGATGGTGTTGCTGGGTCTTAAGGAAGTTTAATTTCCTAATTTTCTGAAAAATCGCCATACTGATATCCAAAGGGGCCATACCCATTTTCACTCCCACCAGCAATACAGGTTCACTAAGACTTTGCTTTAACAATGCAGAAGCATGAAATGCCCTGTGTATAATATATGCCAGCAGAACAATGAGAAAATAGTTAAATAAGCAGGCATGAAACCACCAGCGTGAAGAAGAGCCCATACCCATACTTTTACCCTTGGTGTTCTGTTCCCATAGTGTCTTCCACTACCCTGAATTTTACTTACATTGTGATAAGTGTGTGTGTGTGTGTGTGTGTGTATGTGTGTGTGTGTGTGTGTGTTGAAATTTTGTTCCTACTTTTCATAGCTCTTCTTTGACTTACCAATTTTTTATGCTCAACATTAATTATAACATTTAACAATAGAGAAGTATGCAGTGGATGTGGTTTCATACTATACAACATTTTATTATTCTAACTTATGACAAATAAATATTCTTTTTGGAAGGATTTTATTGATTGATTTTTATTTTATGGGTAACTATTTTGGTTGCATATATGTTTGTGCCTGGGTACCTATGAAGGCCAGAAGGGTGTCAGAACTGGGGGTACAGGCAGTTGAGAGTCACTATGTGGGTCCTGGAAACTGAACCTGGGGCCTCTGCAAGAACAATAAGTGTTCTTAACTATGGAAACATGGTTCCAGCCCTAGCATTCTTACATTGATGACATTGAGGTTATTAATTGCTTGTGATTCAGAATAGAATAACAGGATGGTTTTATGTTTGTATAATAGTTCACATGTACTACAGTTTTTTAGAGTGTATTCCCTGTTGAAGTTAAGATGTTCAGCATTTCCAAGTAGTTACAAGGCCATTTCCATGGTGGCTCCTCAAATAGATGCCCCTGCTGGTGAGATGTCACCATTCCCAGTGCTCCACTTTCTCACCAACTCTTGTTCTCCTCCTGCTGGTTAGGGTGTATTTGTGCCCATGTGAAGTGGTGTATGACTGCTTTCTTCGTGGCTGCAAGGTTGACCATATTTTTAATGTGTTTATTTGTCTTCCTTGTGAGATGCTTATGTTGCACACTCTTCTGCTGTTTTCTCTTCCATGACAATCTAAGTTATTTGTGTAGTTTGGATGCAAACCTTTGTTAGCTACATGTGCTGTAGATCCTGTCAGTTTATGGCAGTGTGTATACTAACTCTGTGATGTTTTATTGTGATTTTTATTTGTGTGTGGAGGGTTGAATAAATATTTCCATTTGCCAACTGTGGAGGTCAAAGGACAACTTTGGGGAGCTGGTTCTTGCTTTATATCTATTAGATAGAGCAAGGTCTCTTTGGTTTTGTGCCTAAGCTTCAAACTCTAGGCCTCTAGGTTAGTCTGCCTTTGAGCCTGTCTCCCATCTTATTGTAGGAGTGTTGAGACTGCATACACCTTCAAACTACACGTGTTACCAATTACTCTTATTCCATAATGCACCTTCTTTTAGTTCAGTTTTAACTGATACTTGATTTTTTGCATAATTTTTAGAGCTGTATTGTCAAACATAAAACAATCTTTCTTTTAGTATCTTAAACCATCAGTATAAGAACCAGATCAAAGGAAACTATAGTTTTGTTTTTAAAGTTAGAGTTTCTCCCTTTCATTTTCAGCTTGTTTTAACCATATGCTGATACAGTTCTGTAGTCTTCCCAGGGACGCTGAATCCTCACTTCAGCTGAAAGTATTTCTAAGAAGCATTTGTTCAGCTCTGTCATGGCATTACCTGTTATGTTCCAGAGGCATTGGGTAAAGCATTTGCCTAGTATGAGCAAAGGTTCATTCTTATCTCATTATGGAGTATGTGAAATCTATGGGGCAGGTTGCTGATGTGGGATGTCCTTTTGTATACGTGTTGCTTTTATTGCTTGATGAATAAAGCTGTTTTAGCCAATGGCTTAGCAGAGTAAAGCCAAACACGAAGGAGAGAGAGAGAGAGAGAGAGAGAGAGAGAGAGAGAGAGAGAGAGAGAAGGTGGAATCAGGGAGACACCATGTAGCTGTCAAAGGAGAAAGAAGCTGAATCCTTATACTGCTACATAGATTAATAGAAATGGGTTAATTCAAGATGTAAGAGCTAGCTAAAAATATGCCTGAGTAATTGGCCGAACAGTATTGTAATTAATATAGTTCCTGTGTGATTATTCAGGACTGAGTGGTTGGGAAACAAAAGAGCAGTTTCTGCCTACAGCTTACAGAAGTACATATCTCTGTATTGACAGCTTTCTTTCCATTTATGTAGTCTTTAGTTGAAGCCTACCCTCAGACTTTGTGGTTTTCCTGCATAAAGTTCTTACTAGACTCTTGTTGAATTTATTGTTAGCTATGCCTTTTTGTTACCTTCAGTGATAACTTCTAAAATAGCATTTTCTGACTACTATAGATATATAAGTGAAATTTTTTATGTTTCCCTTGTAAAATTCTTAATTCTTATAGGTGCTGCTGAATTTTAATTAATCTGTAAATAATCACTTATATATGAATTCTGATGGCTTTCCTGCTTCCTGATCTATCGTATTTATATCTTATACTACTATTTTGGTTTTGTTGTCATTTGTTAATATATAAACTATGTCAT